CTGGGAGGGATGGTTTAGTGATGATGCTCCTTGTTTGTTGTGGGGGTGTCTATTTTTGTCAGTCAGGTTGACGGTTGGACAAGATGATCTTTAAGGTCCCTTCCAACCTAGAAGATTCTGGGATTCTGTGTCCCAGTTCACATCACACATTACCCCAGGTCCTGGGCGCTTAGTCCAGGGAGGGGCTGCTGAAAATCCCACTGAATTCCCCCTCCTACCCATCTAGGAGCCCAAATACCTATCAAACTCCAGGCCCTCACTGCTGAGACCCTCGTGGGGACGTGCGGGTGTGCCTGTGCTCTACGGGGAGGGACAGTGTGAAGCCACTGCTGGGTCAGAGCCACCCAGGAGCCACCTGCATCCATCTGCCTCTTCCCCTGGGCTGCCCCGGAGCTGGGACCACTCCTGGTTCCTTGGGCAGGAGAGAGGCAGCAGGGAAAAACCATGGTGTCTCACACCCCATGTATGAAGCTGGAGATGGAACATCCATGAGCCTCCCTGGGAGGAAAAAGAACACATTTTATTCCCTTTTCTTGTGCAAGGGAAAAGCGATTCCCTCACCAGAGGATGGGGCTGCTGTTCTGCAAGAAGACAAGAGAGAGGGAGAAGCGAGGACAACCCCGGCACCATCTGTGTCTTGCTCTTAAATGAGACCAGGCTGGTGATGGGGCAGGAGGAATCAGGGCTTCTCAGGTCCACCGTGGCCTGATGGGACCCCAGGGCTTCTTGCCACGGCCACCACCCCGTGCCGTTTGGAAGCTGGTGGCAGAGGGAGTGGGGAGGGTCTGTCCCAGCCCGGGGGCAGGGGGATGCAGGGGGTCGATGCTCTCCGGGCGCACGTGGCTGTGGCACGTCTCGGTGACAACCATATGGCAGCACCAGATGGTCTGTCTGCGAGCGGGGCCAAAGCCTGGGCTGCAAACAAACACACCCACAGCGGCAGCAAAAAACAGAAAACCATCTGCCTCTTCCCCTGGGCTGCCTCAGAGCTGGGACCACTCCTGGTTCCTTGGGCAGGAGAGAGGCAGCAGGGAAAAACCACGGTGTCTCACACCCCATGTATGAAGCTGGAGATGGAACATCCATGAGCCTCCCTGGGAGGAAAAAGAACACATTTTATTCCCTTTTCTTGTGCAAGGGAAAAGCGATTCCCTCACCAGAGGATGGGGCTGCTGTTCTGCAAGAAGACAAGAGAGAGGGAGAAGCGAGGACAACCCCGGCACCATCTGTGTCTTGCTCTTAAATGAGACCAGGCTGGTGATGGGGCAGGAGGAATCAGGGCTTCTCAGGTCCACTGGAGCCTGATGGGACCCCGGGGCTTCTTGCCATGGCCACCACCCCGTGCTGTTTGGAAGCTGGTGGCAGAGGGAGTGGGGAGGGTCTGTCCCAGCCCGGGGGCAGGGGGATGCAGGGGGTCGATGCTCTCCGGGCGCACGTGGCTGTGGCACGTCTCGGTGACAACCATATGGCAGCACCAGATGGTCCGTCTGCGAGCGGGGCCAAAGCCTGGGCTGCAAACAAACACACCCACAGCGGCAGCAAAAAACAGAAAACCCCCCCCAAATCCCCCACCGCAGCCAGGACGGGGCCGGGACAGGACCCCCCCGCTGGGATCTGCTCATGTAAAGGGGTAAAAAAAATTTACCCGCCCTTAAAGGCTCCTATTTTGTTGTTAAGGGGCACGAAGAGGAGTTTAGGAACTGCAGGTGGGAGTGGAAAATCCAAGGAGAGCAGCAGGTTTCCCACTCCCAGGTTTGGAAAATCCTTTTGATTTACACAAACTGGTTCCAGTTTGGGAGGGGTTGGACAGGGTTTGGGGGGGGGCGGGAGGGGGAAGTACTTTTTCCCCAGTATGAAAAAAAAAAAAAAGAGAGTTTGGGGGCAGGAAATTGGGGAAAGGAAGAAAAACAGACTGGGGATGGTTGTGTCCCCCCCCACAATTTACTGCTTCCCTTCCTCCTGCTCCACGCTGAGTCACAGCCTCCAGCAGGATTTCCAGAATAATTCCTGTCCTTGGAAGCTGTCCCAGATCCCAGTGCACATGGAATCATGGAATGGTTTGGGTGGGAAGGGACCTTAAAGCTCATCTAGTTCCCTCTCTGCCCTGGGCAGGGCCACCTCCCACCAGCCCAGGTTGCTCCAAGCCCCCTCCAACCTGCCCTTGAACCCCTCCAGGGATGGGGCAGCCACAGCTTCTCTGGGCAACCTGGGCCAGGCTCTCACCACCCTCAAAATGAAGCAGTTCTTCCCAAAATCTAACCTAAATCTCTCCTTTTTCAGCTCAAAACCCTTCCTCCTTGTCCCATCGCTCCCCTCCCTCATCAAGAGTCCCCCCCCAGCTTTCCTGGAGCCCCTTGAGGGACTGGAAGGGGCTCCAAGGTCTCCCCGGAGCCTTCTCTTCTCCAGGCTGAACCCCCCCAACTCTCTCAGCCCCCCCTCCCAGCAGAGGGGCTCCAGCCCTCCCAGCATCTCCAGGGCCTCCTCCAACAACTCCGTGTCCTTCCTGTCCGGATCCCATTCCCATTCTCTCCACCCCAGGCTCCCCCCAGGAGGTTTTGGGACAAAGTGGCAGCGCCCAGGGCTGGGAGTCCCAGGGAAACGGGTCCCTGGGCGGTGGCGGAGGCGTGGGGAGGGGAGGGTGCTGTAACCATGGCAGGGCAAACACCGACAAACAGGACGTGTCCCAGCAGCTTCCCTGGCTCCCGAGGGATGGGGAGCAGCCGGGCATCATAGAATCATAGAATGGTCTAGGCTGGAAGAGACCCTTGGGATCATCGAGTCCAACCATCTCCCCTACTCTACAAAGTCCTCCCCTACACCATGTCCCTCAGCACTGCATCTAAACGGCCCTTCAACACAGCCAGGGATGGGGACTCCACCCCCTCCCTGGGCAGCCTGTTCCAACGCCCGACCACTCTTTGGGTGAAAAATTCCTTCCTAATGTTCAATCTAAACCTCCCCTGGTGGAGCTTGAAGCCGTTCCCTCTCGTTCTGTCACTAATGACCTGTGAGAAGAGACCAGCACCAACCTCTCTACAGTGTCCTTTCAAGGAGTTGTAGAGAGTGATGAGGTCTCCCCTCAGCCTCCTCTTCCTCACACTAAACAGTCCCAACTCCCTCAGGATTTGTTTTCCAGCCCCCTCACCAGCTTCGTTGCCTCCTCTGCACTCGCTCCAGCACCTCCAGATCTCTCTTGGATTGAGGTGCCCAAAACTGGACACAACACTCGAGGTGTGGCCTCCCCAGTGCTGAGAAAGAGAAAACAGCCCCGTAAACTGGTTTCTGGGCAGCACAAGCTCCACATCCCCCATTCCCCCCCACTGGGAGCTGTTTGGGTGCATCACTTTTGCCTTTCTGGGTACCTTTCAGGTCCATCCTGTCCCTCCTCCACCTCCTGGTCTCCCCATTTTCAGCCCTTCGGGGTCTCTCGCCCCATAGCAGCGTGAGGACAGCCTTGTTGGGGGGAGCTCAGACCCATGGGGGACAAATCCTAGTTGCTCCCAGCTTCCAGCACAGTCACCCCAACCCTGGGGGGGGGCTGCCTTCACCCCCTTTTTTACAACAGGAGAAGGTGAAGCTCAGCAAGGGGGAAGGGGGGAGCAGGGAAGGTTCAAGGGGGGGCATCTCCAGGTGTATCAGTGTTAGGGTTTGAGGAAGCCACAATTTAGTGTCATTTAGACAATTCTTCTCACCTGAGGACCCCTCCCCACCCGGGAAGGGGAACCAGGAGGGGGGAAAAAACAAGGAAACCTGAGGGTTGAAATAGAAAGAGATTTAATAGAGTCAAAGAAATAGGTTTAATAAGAATAATTTAATAGAAGGGAAGGGCTCAGGGCTCTGGCACCGGGGCAAGGAGTTCTCAGAGAGAGAATTCCTCAGCAAACTTTCTAATTTATATTAAATGTGGTGTCCATGGAATGAAATAACCCCCTTGGCCCCTTGGGTTGGGTGCCTGGGTCTTACTCCTCCTCCTCCCCACACCTGGGGAGCTCAAAAACAATGAGACCTTGAAACCTGCCCCCCCCTGCCCAGAGCTGGCTGTAAAACCAATAATAAAAGTATTTTCCCAAATTCAGACACCGGAATCTTCCCCCAAAGTGCGCTTTTCCCAGGTATTGGAAGAGAAATGAGTTTTTTCAAAGCAGAAGAGGGGGCAGGGGATCGCTGCCAAAGCCCAAATCTCCGGGGAGGAGCAAGGCAGCCCCCGGGATGGGGGACTCGGGGGGGGTTGGAAGTTGGCCACGAACCTGGGGATGGAATGAGGGGGCCATAAAGGGATGAGTTGCAAAGGATCGAGGGGAGAAAATAGAGAAGGAGGGGAAAATATGAGTTTAAATGGAAAAGTGGGAATAGATAAAGGGAGTGGAATCACCGAATTCTGTTGATTCTGTGAAATAGAAGAATGGGAGAGTAAATGGACAAATGGGAGTGTAAATGGACAAATGGGAGTGGGAATAGATAAAGGGAGTGGAATTACAGAATTCTGTGATTCTGTGAAATCAATAGAAGAATGGGAGTGTAAATGGACAAATGGGAGTGTAAATGGACAAATGGGAGTGGGAATAGATAAAGGGAGTGGAGTCACAGAATTCTGTGATTCTGTGAAATAGAAAATATGAGTTTAAATGGACAAATGGGAGTGGGAATAGATAAAGGGAGTGGAATCACAGAATTCTGTGATTCTGTGGTTCTGTGAAATAGAAGAATGGGAGGGTAAATGGACAAATGGGAGTGGGAATAGATAAAGGGAGTGGAATCACCGAATTCTGTTGATTCTGTGAAATAGAAGAATGGGAGAGTAAATGGACAAATGGGAGTGGGAATAGATAAAGGGAGCGGAAATAGAAGAATAGGAGCGTAAATGGACAAATGGGAGCGTAAATGGACAAATGGGAGTGTAAATAACCGTGAAGAATAAAGCTCGGGAGGGAAAGGGGTAGAAAATCTGCAGGAGGGACCTGCCCCGTTCCTGAGCCTGCGCCGGGGACCGAGGGCACGTCGGGATCTGCCGTTAGAGCCGCCGTGGTTGCCCAAGGGGCTGAGTCAGGGCTGGGCGCTGGCCACGTCGGGAAGGGCGGTGGCCACGGTGTGAGGCTCATTTACCGCCCCGGCTCCGGCTGCACCACATCACACCAAGGAAACGAGCCCCTCTCCGAGCCCCCCAACCATGGTGAGTGAACAGGGACCCCCCCCTTGGGCTGGGGAGGAAGAGGAGGCCCCGGGTTGGGGGGGAGCTTTTCCCACTAAACGGCCCCCGGAGATGAAGGAAAGACGGACTTTGGTACCGGAAAAATCATCCGGGATCAAGGGATCTCTGCTGGGGAGGGGGCCTGGGGGCAGGAAAAAGGGGGGGCAGAGGGTCCCTGGAGGTGTGGGGGGGCAGGGGGGTGGTAGTTGTGTTGTTCCCCCCCACCTTCTCCCCTCTTTTCCCCCCCCCACCT